TGATGTTAATCATTAATATTAATGTATAAGGTCAATCCGCACATAATATCATTCACGGTGAAAGTAATTTTAATTCACATAATTCGTAAATATTTCTTATTAAATTCATATATTAAGGACATTTTTAATAACTACAACTGATTAAATTTTAAATTATTTAATTTTTTTTTATAATTACGGATAGATTTACTTTTTCATTAATGTATTGAAGATAATTATTTAATTCACAATTTTATTCACACGAATTCTAATATTTTGCAATGTAAAATAAATTTAGAAAATCACATTCTTATCCGTCATAAGATCACATTAATTGACTTTGAAATTCACGGTAAAGACGATGCAGTAGGCGTTAATAGTTTTATAATTAAGCTTTTGTTTTGCATCTAAAACTTAAATGAAAAACTTTGTGTGAAACTAAAATAATTTTAAAATATTGTTATCTTTTTAAAATCTATAGAAAATAAAATTTTTTTTTAATTATTTTAAATATTTTAGTTTTAAAATAATTTTTGTAATTATATCATAGAAAAGCTATTCTATTAAAATGAAATTTTAATTAAAATTAATTAATTTAATAAAATAACATAAGCAATAACAAAATGTATAGAAAAATCTAAGTTTGTATATAAACGGCAACAGTGAACACTTTTAATAAAAATTAAATTTAATACGAGTATTATATCTGCTGGCTGATTTACTTGTATTAATGTCTTTATTCAATTTCAAATAGGATTTCTAGACAAAATCTACAAAAAGTATACTAGCTATTGTTAAGCTTTTTACTAAAATACCACGATACTATGGTAAAATTTAATTGAATTTTTTCTTTATATGATTTTTATCTTTTCCTCTTCCGATTTAATTTTGTTAATGCAAAAATTTAATTTTAAGCAATAAGAATTGTTTTTCGTTTTTGTTTTATGGTGTAGTTTTAAGTATCGTTCCTGTATAAAAGAGATTTTTTTTCATATAGTAAACTAATAATTGTTGTCGGTTCTTAGCTGATATTTTTGCACAATTGCTGTATTTTTAATATTTTGAGTTTGAAAGTAAACATTTTATAGAATTTTCGTTAGTTATGTAGGAATGCATAATTGCCGTGCCCGATTATATAGATTATAAACTGTCCTTAACAACTTCCGGTATAGTTATTAATGTCTTTAACATAAGAACTAGTCCTTATATAGGCATATTATTATAATTTTATATCTTATTTTCATATATTTTGCGTTCTAGATAGAAATATTTTGATTTTTCCTTTATAGACAAATTACGTTCCAGATAATGCACCGATCGGACTAAAAACGTTAACATATCAAATTTATACATGCCAAATACTAGCATAAACGTTGAATTCAAGAATTCAAATGCAAATAATTCCGTCAGTTAGCCCACGTCACGTAGGAGAATTATGAAAATTTCTCTTTAATTTTTTGGATTCGTAAAATTATTTGTATACAATAATTTGTATGTTTTTAAAAATCTTATTTGACATTTCATTATTTTTAACTTTAACTCTTGTATCAAACTATTGTAAACACATCAATTTAAGTCATGTATCAAACTTTAATAATAATGTCGATATTTGATATTATCGACATAGTTGAATCGATTAATATTGTAAACAAATTAGATGCACGAACATTTTTGATTATGTAGTTGAGTTCAGTTCTATTATATAAATCAGGCGCAGAGGATGTTATTGCAGTTGACCAATGTAGATTAAATAAAAGAATAATTTTTGGAAATATTATTCTTTTAATAATTGATTTTCATCTATTTTTTCTACGATTTCGAACATCGTCCTTTTCTCATTGAACCCTTACCTTATAATATCGTTTATAATAATATCGACACGCTATGCACTTTTATGAAGCGAAAATAAATCAATGCAATTGCAAAACAACCGGAAAATAAGTGTGATTTAAATAACATCATTTAAGTTGTCTTTTTTCTTGTATTTTTTTTTATTTAAGTTGAGTGGTTGAGAAGTGCCCGATATTAATTTTTGTTTACAACTACAAAATTTTTTGTCCATGACCGACAAATTTATTTTTTTTTACAATAAAAACTTTTGATAAACTTTTGTTTCTTTTAATTTGTCATTTAATTCATTTGTCATCGGTTTTTCGTTTTTTCTTTTTTTTGTATATGAATCCTTTTTTGAACAAAGGATTAAATAAAAGGTGGGACCAAAAACAAGATAAAAGAAAAAGATGTACTGAAAGCTATAAACAATTTTTTTTTTTCTTTTTGGTTTTTTTTTTCGAGATTTATGACAATGATTTATTTTTAAAATTTATTTTTTTAAAAAAATTTTATTTCATAAAAATAAATTTTGAGAAATTGAAGATAAACACTTTTTCATAAATATATATGTATATGTATATGAAAAGGTAAAATTATTATTGTTTAATTATGCTAAAGGACATTATTGATTCTGAAAGATACAAGAAAAAAATTTAAGGAAAGACAAAAAATTCAAAATGATTTATGATGCTTTCCGAAAAAGTTTAAGCAACTTGTCACAAATTTTAAAGGAGAAAAACTGTAATAATTGTAGAGAGAGTTTATAAATGAAATTTTATAATTCATAAAATTGTCTAGTCTAATAAACCTTTTCCATTGTTTTTTCATGGGGGCATTAGGGGCGGTTATTCATGGGTTTTTTATATATTAAAAACCTATTATGTATGTGTTCTTAGAATTTCAAATTATTGTTAAAAATTCATAATATTAAGAAAACTAAGAAAGAACGAATAGTTTCTTTGGTATCATCTATGAAAAAGTTATTCAAGTCTAATAATAAGAGTGTGAATAAATTTTAATTTCGTTCACTTAAAATTTTCTGCATTTTTTTTAAAGAATAAGGTATTTTTTTAAACGTTTAAAAAAAATCAAAATTGAAAATAATATTTTAATAATCAAATCTAACTATAATAATTAATATTGAAATTAAAGGAGAAAAGGAAAGCTGCAAAGAACTACAAAAAGCTGCAAAAAATTATAAATAGAGAAAATCTACAACAATATACAGAAAATAATAAAAGTTTCAATGAGTACAAACATTTTAAATGTTTCACAACTTCTGTGACTATAAACTATTTGCAACATGAAATGAAAGTTGCTGAAGCATTTGTGTACAAACAATTAATTTAATAATGTTGAAATAAAATTTACTTGTTTTAATTCAATATGTGTATTGTGTTGGATATTTTCAAAATGTTTGAATATTGTAAAAATTAAAAAAATTAAAATGTGTTAATCTTAAATTTACTCAAGTTCTTAATATTTTTCTACTATTTGCTATATTAAATATTTAGAGGCAAAAGATTGTTATCGCTTCAAATTAATTTCTTAAAAAATAAGTGTTAGTTCCACCAAATCCACCAATTGATTCCACCAATATTGACCAAATTCATAAGATTTTCAATTCAGTTTCACGGGAAATATGTAATCTATATACTTAGATGAAAATGTTACAGTTTTCATGTTGGTTGGAAAATTGCATATTTTGCAAGAAATTTATTGAAAATTTTAAATTTACAGAAAATTCTAAAATTGTGAATGTTTTTTTTGCCACTAATTTTACTTATACTTAAAGCATATTCGATGTTTACTAAAAAAAAAATTTGTATGAAAACTACAAAATTTTTAAACAATTGTTATAAACTGCTGGCTAAACGGAAAATTAGGTTTAATTTGGTATACGCTGATTGTCACTTTCCAAAGTGACTGACTAGACTGTTATAGGTAAAACTTCACAAGCTTCTTTCAACATTAAACTTGATTCGCACAATCAATATCACTCAGAAATCTTTCATAAAATTTATTAAAAAAAAATTTCACACTGAAAGAAAATTAAGTGCCAACACAAACCAATTTAATCAAGGCAAAAAGATATGAGCTTCATTTTTTTAGTTATATTTGCCTTATATTGCCCTTACAACTAAACTTAAGTGTATTTACAAATTTTACATTATATTTTATTAATAACTTAATAAATTTTATCGAAAAATATACCCACTCTCCCTATTTTACCAAAAAAAAACCTTATTTTTTTATAATACTCGTAATACGAGATGGGAAAAAATATTTTTAAATGTAAACGCATCCTGACCAATGTTGTTTTTAAAATATTACAAGAAAAAATTATTTTTCAAAAAACAGAATTTATTTTTTTTTTTTATTAAAATATTCTGTTTTCATATTATTACTCAAAATGTATGTATGTATGTATAATGTATGTTAAGAATCAGTAACATATAAGGTAAAAAATAACATTTTTTCAGCTGACATTGATTGAAGTTTTCATACAGTGATGGAGAAAAATAATAATAATAATAAAGAGAAAATAAAAATGGGAAGAGCAAAAAGCATCAATCAACAAACCTTAAGAACATTATAAAGAACCATAGAAACTCACAATCGTTTACAAAAATAAAGAAAAAAAAAAGAGTACCTTGAGGAGAACACGGTTTATATTTTCTTTATTATACTTTAACTGTCATATTATAAAAGGTAAAAAATAAAAAAATAATAAAAAAAATAAAGGAAACTTTGTATAGAATGTAAAAGAGAAATTAGAGGAAATAAGACCCATCACCATTGTGGAGTCTCTCACATATTTAAAAAGAATTTTACAGTTAAAGGACTTAAGAAGTAAATAAAAAGGTTTCATTTTTTCTTCTTCTTCTTCTTCCTTAAGAAATTCTTTTACTTCTTTTCATTAATAAAAATAGGTAATAAAAATGTTTAAGAAAATCAAAAAGAGAAAAGAAGGAGAAAATAATTTTTGGGGCTATTCTTTCTTGATCCCATAATTTATACTAAATAATTACATACATACATGCATACAAACCTATAATATTTCTTTTGAATACAAAATTTTCTTTTTAGACTCATAGCTATTCTCCATGTATTTCATGAAAAGGTAACCTCAATTTGTATAAAAAGCAAAAAAAAATTGAAAAAAAAATGTTTTAGAAAAAGCATACCTTTGTTGCCAATCTAAAGCGGAATCAGGATCTTTAGCATAAGCATCCCACATGTTACACCATTCATCAACAGATACCTAAAAAAAATTATCAAAATTTTATCATTTTAATTTTTATTCACATACAATCAACTATTATATAAAAATAATTTCAATTTAATTTAATAATCGAATTTAATATTATTTTCGGGGGGTTTGAGCATTATTTGTTGAAGAAAATAGGGATATTGTGTCAGAAAATAGGGATATTTTGTAATCTGTAATCATAATGTAAGTAAGTAAATAAGGATATTAGTTAAAATTGACAATAGAATTTTTATGGTTTCAGAAGATTTATGAAATTTGGTCTAACAAAAGGAGTTTATAACTGTGATACTTATTAATCTTATTTCTTGTATTACAGTTATTTTAAAGAATTAGGTACAATATTCAGTCCCAATACTCTGTCATGATAAACTAGCATTAATTTAATATACTGGCATTTAATTTAATTGATATTTTCTGGTATCAACGGAAAATTTGCTTAATCGAAGGTCTGCATCATTAAAGGTAGCACAACAACGAAGTCGCAGAGATTATTGAGCATTGTATGCATTCTTCCTTCATTCTCAATCTTTTACTACACACTAGGTTTTTTTGTTAGCTATACAAAAGTAATTGCGTATAGTCAAAAGTGCACTTTATCGTACAAATCTTCAAACATAAAAGACTAAATTTGATAAGCTGTAGGTAAAACATTTTATTGTAGCCGGAGTCGCTTCAGATTGTAAGCTAAAACAAAAGTGTACTGTAATAGTATTGGCATATTGCATATGTAAAACTTTTAAAAAACAATTGTAGGATTTTATTTTGTAATCCCTAACTATACAAATTAGGGATTTTGACAAGTTATATATAGATAATTGGGATTCAGAATAAAAGAAATTGAAGCTCATTTCGGCAGCTGTTAGTTTTACATATTCCATGAACGTATAGTAGTGACTAGTTTTTGCTTGTAACCACCAGAATGAATGGTAACGTAAAAATGATATGCTCATAAATAAATAAGAATTTGAAAGTAAACTGTGGCTACAGTTTCTTGCTCTATGGTTTCTTAAAAGAAAAAGCGAGGGCGGTTTTCTTTACAAATTTATTCATTATGCTTGAAAATCAAATAACAATTTGAAATCTTAAATTAATTAAGTTTGCATCAGATTCTACACGCTGTAATGAACACAATGCTCCTTTACTTAAAAAACACTCCCTAAAACTTATTCATGCCACATTTTAATTAGATTAAATGAGTAAAAAGTGAGAAAATTAAGTGAGACGCTTGTTCCATGCCATATCCTAAGCAAATTCAAATTTAATACTACATAACTTTGGTATTAAACAGTATAAGAGTTTTAAAAATATAAAATCGCTGTAGAATTATTATTTGTGGAATTCATTAATTTAATATTAATTTAAAATGCTCTTATTTTAAATTATTCTTTATTAATATTTTTGCTTTTTAGTTTTTTCTTACCAACATAATTCTATCATTTTCTACTACTATGCCATTATAAAACCATAAAGAATATATAACTGAGTTGAAATTAAATAAAGAAAGCAAGTCATTTGAGAACAATCTTTTAACTCTAATATATGCAATATGAGTGTGGTATAAATTCCACAAAATTCATTTTTGAACAACTTTAATGCAATTTTCATTCTATTTCCCTCTATATTTTCTTTTTAATGAAAAATACTCTCTTATAAATTATGAGCGAATTTTTCAAAAACTTAAGTAGTATAAACAATAAAAATATCGTGAGTATTATAAATATTAAGACAATTAAAATTAAAAAAAAAAAGTTCACATTTTATTCCATGAAATTTTTAAACAAAAACAAAAAGAACCAACTATTTTAGATAATTAGATACACAATTCAAAGGTTATATTTTGGATCCAACAGTACACATACACACACATACACGTTTCTGTTGAACAGAATTAGTAATTAAAAATAAAAAATGCGAGGGATCTGAAATTTAATTACAGGGTTATAAAATATTAAAATTATTGGTCTTATATGGTGTAAATTTTGTTTTAAAAAATTTAAAAAGTAGTGTAATGTAAATATATAATATACAGCATGTATGTATGTGTTATGACCTAATTTTAAAATATCAAAAATTTAATTAGTAATTTACTCCGCATTAATTTTGTTAAAAATAAGCAAGCACCTCTTTTATGTCACCTACATTATTAGTTAGAAACAAAGTTTAAGAAATGCAAACAATGTTTAATTTTACAACTTAAAAATATTTTTGCATATATTTAGGCGAACAAAATTTTATAATATTCATTTTATATAGCTATAGTACTTAGCAGCAACATAATGCTAGCGCTACATGAAAAATCTAGTTGCTTTTCTTGTATAGGAATTTCTAACTACATTTTTCAAATAAATATTCTCTTCTTGAAAGATAACTCTAATCTAAGGTATAAAATGGTGGTTGGTGAATTTAGTTTTAAAGTGTTATATAACCTGTAAAATATTCAAATTTTACAAAAAAACGTATTGAAAAATTTCAATTAAAGAATTTTATTCAAATGGGTTATGTAATGGGTTGGTGGAATTTAAAATTATGATTAAAGAAAATTTGATTTACACATTCAACCTTCTGGCAAAATATAACAAACATAAAACCATAATATAATGAACTATAAAGCTTTGTCTTATGCTAATTAAAATTATTTTACAATATATACATAGCATAATATATATATATTATGTATACATAACAGTTTTATGCCTTGACAATATCGTGCTCACTTCATATATAGGTACAAATTTTATGAGATCACATGATTTTTTGATTCTATTAAACGTTAGCCTATGAAATTTAAAAATAAAAGATTTTCATAGTTTTTTAGGCTACATAAAAATTGTTAGAGCAAAAATAAACTTAATTGCAAATTGCATTAATTTTAACTTTTGAGTCTTTTTTATGCAACTTCGCTCAAGGGAGGAGCATAGAACTAGTAAATGATATTGTACATAACCATATTCTTACCAGTTTCGGTCGGTAGTTACGTGTCGGTATATAATAAACGGGAGGCTCGGTAATCAACTTATAATTTACTTAAATATTTTCAAAATTTCAATCAATTTCTATAATTTTCAAGCTGAACCGACAGTTCTTATAGCTATAAGTTATTGCTTATCCACTATTTAACTTGGCCCCTCAATACGTTTCCAACACGTTGAATTTTTAGTTTCCCAAAACGTTTGTTATTACGTTTCGAACACGTTGAATTGTTAGTAGACTAGATGATTAACCATTTAATAGTTGAAACTTGGTTGAAAATTTCTAAATAAAATTGAAGTGTGAGTGACTATGCCGATCTACGTGTTTTTCAAGGTGTTGTTAGATCAAGTTGATTTGTGAATAGGCAGCATAAAACATTATTTTTGACCACACCACTACAATTTTACATTAACATTTCCTCTACGCTCTACGGCAATAACGTAAATTTTATGAAAAAAAAAATCAATATTTACGTTACGGAATTGCAGTTTGAAGTGCTACCTCATTGTGTTTACGGCATTAATATGACATTCAGTTGTCAAATAATTATTGAATCACTTTCATTTCTTTTCAAAAATTTTTAAATTCCTGTATAATTTTTTGCATATAATTTACAAACATTTACATATATGCATATCTAACAATACAAAATTTCATAGAAAGTTATTGAACGAAGACTACATTTGACATTTTGCATTTGTGGTGTAAATTCCATGATTCAAAGAATTTGAATTTTACTTTATTCAACACTCAATATTGTAATCATATTATAAAAAAGAAATTGTTACCATATACACATACTTTGATATATTGTATACAAAAATTTAAACACACCTAAGTGGATTACAAAGGAATTATTTTTTGATATATTTTGTTCCCCTCAAATAAATTCAAAAATGTCATCCTACTTTAAAATTTCAGTTTTTTTTTGGAAAACAAGAACGAAAGAAGAATTTTTTTTTTAAGAATAATACTTTTTTCTCTGGAAAAAAAATTCTTCTACAAAGTTAAACAAAGTGTTGTCCTTTGCAGTAGTAAATACTTGGTTTTCGTCTTTTTTACTTTTCTGTTTTTCTTACAATATTAAAATGTGGCTAAAAAGAGGAATTCATTTTTGTTCGTGACATGAATTTCACTTAGAGTAAAAGATAGCAAAAACAAAATATTTACATACTTTTATGCATGTGTAAATATAAAGGACTTTTTAAAAATAAATTTAATTTTCTATTTTAGCATAATAAAAAACTATTGACTTTGTATTAGTTTCGTGTTTCTTAACACACATATTTGGGTTTTGTGAGGATAGAATGTGTTCTTTGCAGTTGAAAACTATTGTTAAATTGTTTAGGGTTGCTTATTATTTCTTGTGTCCTTAAATAATTTAAAATAGCACTATGTTTTATTGCACATTTAAAACCGAAGATCAAATGTAATGAAAGAAAAAAGAAAACGTTCTAAACATTAAAGGACAATAGAACTTTGTTAATTTAATTTTTTATTACCCAATCAGTAAAACTGTAGAGATCAACCACTAAATTTTATATTAAATAATAATTAAAAATAATATAAAAAATTTGTAAATTTTCTAAAAGAAAATAAAAATTTTTAAGTGCAAATATTTTAACCTTCAAGTATACAACAAGCATAATAGAAAATCTTACCAAGGTGATCATAAAGATAAGATTATTTTAAAATATTTTCCTAATTTAAAATTAAAAAAAATGGTCAAATGAACGTGACTTTGTATATTTGAATCTATAAAATTTAAGAATATTGTTAATTCTTGACCTTGAAAACTCGCATATAAGGAAATTTTGTCGAAAACAATAATAATAATAATTTTGAGCTTAATATTTTATAAAATAACGTGCTAAAGGATATACAACGGATTTTAATAATGGGGCCATAAGATTTACGATCTTAAAGTATAGATAAACATAATATAGAATATAATTTTGTAATACCTTATTTTAATATGGAATAGGTGCTTAAAAACAATGTTGTTCACATACAATGTTGCT